TTCACTTTTATTATAAATTTAGGTTGCGAACAATTTGTTATTAACAATCAATGTAATTATTTTTAATGTAATGTAAATTGTATGCAAATTATAGGTACATTTTAACACAAGTACATTATAAATTCAAGTAATAGCCAATAATTTATTAATTTTTTCACTTTTATTATAAATTTACGTTGTGAACTATTTGTGAACTATTAGGTATTCCTTCGCCTATATCATCGTGTGTCTCCTAGTAAGAAAATCAGGCGAAACATGACGCAGTAAAAGGTGTGGTCTGTAGATAGGCTCGAACGTAAACATTGACAGCCTTGGATAGACTCGCGGTTAATTTTCGCAAACGTTTCCTTGTCTCAGTTGCGTGTTATTCTTCGCCGTGTTAGTACGAAATGGCTCGACGTGTGCCTGCTTGTGCTGTTGACCGTGCCACCACGTGTCATCGAAACTTCGACAATTTTCGAACGAGAGTCCGGTTAGTAATATTTATTTTACACCCTTACAATTTTCTCGCTATTCCAAGAAAAATTTAGAGTAACCGATAGAGTAATCTCTGACTAACGGTAGAGGAATCAGTTTTAAAATTCTCGTTAGACACAGAGAAAAACTCATATTTCGGGAATTAAGAGCGACACGGCAATTTCGATTACGAATTCGAGTTCGAAAGAAAGTATCCTCTGCAAGAATCGCTCACTGGACATTACAGATTAGAAGAAAAAAAATTAAAATCCGTTGCACAGCGTAAGAGAGGGTCGAAAAGCAAATAACCATGGCGGCGATCGATGAGGTACCGAGAGCCTGGGACGAATCGCTTTCCTCTCGGTGTTCCGCGCTAGAAATCGGTTCGGATCGGTGTTATTACGATTCCCCGCTGTTAGCTCGATATCCGTGGCGGACAAGATATTCCCGTCGCCGGAGAATCCCAATCGACAGGGTCTTGATGATAGGCTGGAAGCAGCAGTCGGCCCTCGTAACGTCGAGACGCGGATTAGAACCATCTGCGGTTTGCAATTGGCCGCGGCTCGTCGAGCAAATAACAAGTCGGTGAACAGTCGCGATTATCACGCGTACGAAGCACGTGTACACGCCGAGGATTCTCTCCGTTTAACGCTTTCGAGTGGTACCCTCGCGCGAGTACGTTTACCGCTCTCGATCATCGAATTCCGCCCCTGTGTCCATCGGGACAACCGATTCCTGTCGTCGTAGGAAACCGAAGAATTCCGACTCTACAACCCACAGACCACCGTTTCATTCATCCAACGCTGGATGGATTCCCGAGGCGAGCACGAGGTCGCGTTTCAGCGCGCTTCTCCCCGAGCAGGCCGCCACGTACACGGCAGATACGTGATTTTCGCTCGCATCCCGGCCAAGCTGGTGTACGTTCGCGTCCGTGCGCGTGTACGTGTATATCTTTGCCCCGCTGATCGTTATCGTGATCAATGGCACGATCGTTTAGTTGCCCGTAAATTTCGCGGCGCTTCCCACGCGCCGCACGGAACCGCCTCGAATGAATATTCAGCCGGTCCTCGGAAGAGTGCCGACCTACTACGAAGGGATCGACCTACACTCCGCGGCGTGGTTGGAACGTGTCGCGTCGCAGGTTTACACGCGAGCAACGAATACGTAACATCCGTTTTACCTGCGACCTACTCCGGCCGTATATAGCGTACATCTGTCGATAGCCTCTGCTCGCCCACCCACGCCAGCTTTCAGCGTGCTCTCGCGCGTACGTAAATTACGTTGGCGAAGGAAACGATTCCAGCTCGCGAAAGAGGAAGATCGAACGTGACCGTGTATACGCGGCTGAGAACGGGGAAGTCTGTGTACGGCTGCGCACGTGTGCGCGGAAGCCGCGAATCGAATGCAAATGAGCCAGCAGCATCCAACGTGCCCGACTCGTCGGAATCGCTTACTACGTTGCGGGCGCGACGCGTTATTTACGACCGAGTCTAGCCTAGGTCTGCGCTAGGTGATGAAACGCGAGTGGACGAGGATAGCATCGGTCGGCGCTAATCGATGCCGATCGAGATCACGGTTTCCCGGAGTTCAAGGAGGCAGCGATCGACCGTGCTCGACTTCTCCGCAGATCTGCACCCGTTTCCTGCTCCCGACTGCGCGTCGCCGTGCTCGCGAGTCTCCTTGCGCGCCGATGCAGTTACTCAATTGCTGCGGTTGCGAAACAAACCGAGGGATTATTGTTTTACTATTCTTAGCCGTTACTCTGTCGAGCTCTGGTTGCACGAAGACCAACGCGGAATACACGGAGGTCAACGTACCCGTGTGGCTCGAGTTTTGCCATCGCGGAGAACCGCGAGTTCACATTCCGCAGGTATGCGCCGCTGACGGAAGGAAATCGCGGTACAATTTGGGCCATTGGATCCCGAGTTGGCTCGGGGTGCAAAGTCGTCCAGGCGAAAGAGGGTGCCTCCTCATCCTCCCGAGGACCGCGTCCTCTTCCCTTCGCGCTTCTCGTCCTCGTCAAGGGGGTCTTGGCTCTCGTTCCGTGAACTCGCGTAAATTAATCGACGTCCGCGTGGCCAATTAACGGGTGATAAATTACGTAACGTATCGCGGCTGCATCCTTTCGGCGGGTCCCGCGAGAGTCAGAGCAAGAGGCACATTGTTTCTCCGAGACCTTTCAGTCCGCGTGTCCTGCTCTTATTTGCCTACCTGCTTCGGCCTGCAGAGGCGAGGTGATTATCAATTAGCGGTAATTAATGCGGGATTCGAGGCACCGGATCGGCCGTGACATCGCTTTCTGACATCCTTTCAGCCGCCTTCGGACACGAGGCCACGAGACTCGCGAGAGCTGCTGGCTAATTAACGATCCATAACGTCGTCGCACCTCCGTGCACGCGTCGCGTCGCCTCGCGAGTGTCCGCAATCGCGTTTAAACGCAACGGGGAAACGAATGCGAGGCTGGAAATTTATTTCCAGGGGAACGAACAGCGTTTCGCCTGGGCCCCTTATTTTATCGTTATCCCCGGCGCGCACCGAGCTGTTGCGCACCGTGAGATACTGCCCCCTAGACGACTACGTAAAGATGAAATCTCACTTTCCCTGATCTACGTAGTCCTGCCGCGGACTCGCGTGAACTTTGCGCGAAATTATTCGCGAGCTTGAGTTACGGAGAAGGCGCGACCGGTAGAAATTCCAGCGGGATATCGGATCGAGATATCGCGTTGATATCTTTTCGATGGATGAAAGGTGAATTATCGCCGGTAACGCGATCACCGCGAACAGTCGCAGGACGAGAGGAACAACGGGGTGGAGCGGTTGCTTATGCGAGTCGCGTGTCGGTAACATCGAAAACAGAGTGGCACGTATCGAGAAATTTAATAAAAGGCCGTATTTCCCCCCGGAAATAGGTCGAGGGGGAAAGATCGCGACGCGAATACCAGGATCGTCGCGAAAAAGTCTTTGCCGAGCGTTTCCACGGGCTCCGTGGGAACCCGTTCGAACCGCATCGTAAATTTACTCGCCGCTCAGTTATCCGCATCCATATTCCACTTCCTGCCCTAAAACGACGGCCTTCCATTCTTCCACGCCGCTCGATCGGAATCGCGGTCACTTTTAAAGCAATCCTGAAATACCTTCTACCGCTCGTAAGTCGTGGATTATAGTTGAAAAACGAGCAAAAACTGCGGGACACGATGTTAAGAGACTCAGGCTTGCGCGGCGGTCTCGAATAAAGACGATACCTTGATATTTTACATCGAGAGGGAGAGAGAGGGAGAGAGAGGGAGGGAGAAAAAGAGAGAGCGGGAGAGACGGATCGGTTGATCTATTACGAAATTATCAAAGCACAGGTGTTCGATGTTTCCTCGAGATAATTCGATATCCACTCCGTCCACGTACGTGCGATAACATCCATCATGCTAGACTAGCTTCGAGGTAGTAACGAAGAACTGTCTCGGGAACTGACTCGCGAGGCACGAGACGTAGAAGAAACGGCGCTGATTTAAGCGTCTACCAGGATTCAGCGAATGCAACACGGATAATTCAGGTGCTAACGACTATTTACGAGGCGGTCGATCGTTGGCGAGATGTCTGCCGGGTGGAATGCGACGAAGGGTTGCCATAAAACCCCAACTATCCGATTATGGTTGCGCTGTGCGCGCTGCCCGTAGCCCGGTTAGGTCGCGACCATTCTTTTTTACGTCTTTCATCTTTCGTTCCCGGGGCCGAGGCAAGAGACCTGCTGCACAGGCTCTACCGTTCGTCTTCCGCTCTTTAGTTACGGGGATCACGTCCAGTTGGCTACACGAGTCTTCGATAGAGTTACGCTCAGCTGTATACCTGAAAACATCGCTAACAGCGGCGGCGTTCTTCGTTAATTGTTTCGCACGGTGTACGATCGAGTTGGCGGAGTTATTGGCAATAATTAGCGGCCCCGTATCCTGCTACTCTACCCGGCCCTGTGGCATTAAGCTGTTACGCAATCCGTTTCGGTCGCGCAAGAATTTCAGCCTACAGCGATCCGGCTACCGATCATGCGATCTTCTTGTGTGGCGCGGCTACCGGCTCGCTTAATACTCCTCTCGGCAGGGCTGACTTTTTCGCCGCAACCTGCATTTCGACCGCCGTTTCGGAGGATCGCGCATGATTACTAGAGCGAAACTTTCTTCCACGGAACTTAAAGACCGATCGAAATCGATCCACAGCTCCGGGCTATACTCCGTCTCGGTACTCGGTAACGCTCGCAGCAGCAGGGGTGGGTCGGGTTGGGGCAACTGGTCCCGAGCAGACAATTAATTTCGGCTGGTATCGGTGGTTTCGGCGGAAATTCTAAACCGCTGGCTAAACGATCGTCGTTGTCGATATTTGCTTAACGGGAATAATTAATCGACGAGGAAGGAAAAGGTTCGCGGTACCATAGCTACGTCGTGGTAGCGAGCGAGTCCAGTCACTCGACCAGGCGAAAGACTCTCATCGACTTTCTATCCTATCAACGTCACACGCAAAACTGTTCATTAACGTAAGACACGCCCCGCTTGTTACAGCAACAGACCGCCATGATATGACACTCGTTTGAGGCGAAGAGCGTGTGCAATCGACGACCAACCACCATGAGGAAGTTACTGCAGTTTTTGATGGTGCTATTGCTGGGTGTCAATGCCAGACGAACGGACGCGGACGCCCCTGTGGACGACATTTACGGCGGTCAGCGTCGCGGCGCCCTTCACAGGTCTAATTTCAACAACGGGAACAACAATTACAATTCTCAATCCAACTCACCCTATCTGCCGTACCAGCAGCCCAGAGAGAGGAAACCGAACATAGTCCTGATTCTGACGGACGACCAGGATGTCGAACTCGGTTAGTCGCGTCGTTTCGTTGCATCCTTATCGCCAACACCCGATCCAACTCGCCCGACCTTAACCCACGCGATTTGCAAATTAATACACCGTAGATGCGAGCTCCAAACTCGATCGTCCGAATATCCTCTGCCGCTCTCCTCCACAGATGAGAAACAAAGATCCCACTATCCTTGCCCCGAGAGAACTCTTTTTCCGAAGCTCCTTCTGATCGTGTGTCGCGGTTGCTCTGATCCCTCAGGTTCGCTGAACTTCATGCCACGGACCCTAAGGCGAATAAGGGACGAGGGAGCCGAGCTGAGACACGCATACGTGACCACTCCTATGTGTTGTCCGAGCAGGAGCTCCTTGCTGACCGGCCGTTACGTTCACAATCACGAGGTCTTTACGAACAACGACAACTGCAGCAGCCCCCAGTGGCAACGAGATCACGAGCCTCACTCCTTCGCCGCTTACCTGAGCAACGCAGGATATCGTACCGGTGAGTACTCGCCCAATGAACCGGCCGCTTTTCACCCCTCTCGATGACAGAACCACTCCGTGTTGTGTGCCAGCCATCCCAGACGGTGGCCAGAAAAAGAGTCACGCGACCGGGTTCAGCTGTCGTCGCGCGTTCCTTCCTCGAGGAATCGTCGATACGGTCTCGTGCTATCGGCTCGTGGATAATTTAGACGGTCGGTAGTAGCTGTCCGCGGTCGTTTAGCCCGTCGTCGGATACCACGAGAATTATTTATCGACGAGAGTCCTTTATCCACGGTCGCGTGTCGTTCCGACCTCCCAATCGCGGCCAGCCACCGAGAGCCCGAGTGTCGATCGCGGCAGCCGACTGTTCGCAAAATTACGAGCGGTCATACTCGACGACGGGTTGGTTGACCCCGCGACATCGCGAAACCAGAGAATCTGACCACCTCCAATTGAATCGCGACTCGTACTTGCTCGTCTTGCTTGCTCCTAATTGGAGTCAAGTACGTTCGACACGATAAATCCTCGTTGCATAAGCAATTACCATAAGCAATTACCGCATCGAGCGCAAGACAACTACTCGGCGCATCTGGGATTTTTTTCAATTGGAACGAAAGGTCGAAAACCTCCTGGAGCCTGTTGCACGAGCGCAAGCAACGACACGGTTGCGAACGATCGACGATTTTAAAAATTCCCAGACGTGGAATCATGAATCATGGCGGATTCACTGCGTGGCTGTACGTCGTTTTAATTTCGCGGGTGCGTCCGGGGTAATTACGTGCCAGGCGAGACACTCGGGGCCCGTTCAGGTAGGCGCAACGAACATGGCAATGGACCCCCGTAGAATTTCTCGAGATTCGATTCGCGTTGAATTCGCGATCGCGTGCTCTTGACCTCGGATTTTGATCGGTCGTAGAGAGCACGAGAGCGAAAGAGAGAGAGAGAGAGAGAGAGAGAGAATCTCTGGAAACGATGAAAAACAGTCGCAACACGACCGTCGAGGCGGGTCCGGGTCTCGTGGAGAGCGGTCGATCGATGATCGGAGAACAATAATTCAGGAACCGACGGTGGATTGAATGCAGATGAATCGCGACGGTGCATCGATTGTTTGCATTGTTCGCTGGTTACAGCGTCCGTGCATGTGCGAAGCCCTCGTTGACGGCGTCGCGATGATGCATCCCCGATGGACGAGTGGAGGCTCGATAGGATTACGCGTCCATCGAGAGAGGGTCCACGGTGGGTGGACTAGCGTTGGGCCGGGATTTTTGTTCGAAAGGACACTTGATGATCGGGAACGACCGATTAAAGGATGAATCGAGCGCTCGACGATGCATCCTCCGCGCTCGATCCACGATTTTGGGTCGGATTCGCGGTAGAAAAGGGTCGGACATCGACGCGGGTACGCGCACGTAGCCTACACCTAGGGTCGTTGGTCTTTTTGGAGAATTTCACCGAAGGCGGTCAGGTGTTATCTGGTTGGAATCGCCGGTAAGGTTTCAGGGAGGAAAGCAGGCTTCTCGTCAGCTGCACCTGTTTACAGACACCTTTTTGCGCGGTTGAAAACGATCCCGGTGTGCCTCAGTGTCTCGAGATGAATCGATTTCGCGGCAGCAGCGAGATTTCGAGAACCCGGCGACCGATCGATCGGCCAAGAGAATGCCAGGCTCTGAGCTGGCTCGTGCTGCGTTCGTTACGAGCCACGATACTTGCGGTGGAATGCCGCTCGATTCATTGGTAGAATTCGGGGAATCCTAATTGTAGAGCAGTAAGATCGTTGGATAATTCTCGGCCGCGTGAAAACCAGTGTCTGGAACGGTTAGACTCCAGAGATGAAAGTAACGAAACGTAGTCGGCTGGGAGATAAGCCTGTCCAGTTCCTAGCGCAGGGTAAGAGAGGGAGACGGAGAGAATTTAAAACAGCGAAGAACACTTGTAATTCGAGGGAAAAGGACTTTTGACCCTCCTGGCTCGGCGGTAACCGATTAAAGTTTTATCTCTCTAGCCTACTTTGCCGAACACTTATCTCCAAATCTCGTCGACTTATCTTCGAATTACGCCCGGGAATTACCTTACGCTCTTTGCCTTCCGCGGATTCGTTGTAAGAAATTACAGCCGGCAGTAGTTATCCGTTCTCTGCGCTTAATGCCCGATTTAATAACCAATCTAGGTACCGAGCAGAAGGTTCGTTTCGAGATAAGAAATAGCCAGCTGGAAGCAATCACCGTCGTACCTGTTTCACGTGTTCCTCGTTTATTCGTTTCGTTCGTGTTTCCGAACGGTCGCGGCAATTCCGCTCTGCCAGTCGGGCCTATTTCGGGAGACATGCAAATTACCTCAAAGAAACGTTTCTCCCGGAGTTTCTCTCCGCTCCGAGTGCGGCGCGTATTCTTTTCTCGCGCGTCTAACCCTCCGGGATACTTTCCCCCGCCGAAATCGAATATATTTAAGCATGGATAAAACGCGATAGGATAAAACACGAGACGACGACGTAAACCCACGGAAATCCGCTATCGACGACAAGCGTCCGTTTGAAAGGACTGCGCGTATCGGGTCCAGCGAACAGGATCTTGTAAATTAGACCGAACATAGGTCGTATCTCAGTCAGCCAGGGGCGTGCATAGATCCCGCGAGAGGCTATCTCGTTGGAAGATTATTCGCCAAAGCGACCAGATGAAACCGGCCAGTACGTTCGAATTCCCATCGCAAACGTCCACTCTCGGTCGTCGTCGTCGTTGTCGTCGATCACCACCGAGGGAGTGCACGAGAAAAGAGATCACGACCGGTAGAGGAACGCGAACGGAGACAAAAATCTTCTCACGATCGTGACAGTTCGACCCTTCGATGGGTAGACAGGCTCCTGTTGGAAGAGCCCTTCGAGCTCGCTCTCTCGCGCTCGCCTTCCCTTTAACCACGATGAAACGACGTCTCTCTCCTTGTCCGTCCGTGTCTCCCTGTTGTTCCGTCGTCCGTGCCTTCTCTACTACACCAGCTTCTCTCTACGTACAACCATATTCGAGGAGGTAGGACATTGCTCCCTGAAAGCGGCCAGGTTTCTCAGCCTTTAAGCCCCGTCCACATCCGGCATGGGATTGGCGTCCTTCCAAAAATTTCAACACGTATGACGCTGTTCGCGGTGTCCACTTCCGTAAACCACCCGCGCGCGCGCGCGCGCACACGCTCGCAAGCCTTCGCGAGATGTGCCTCTTCTTCGGAAGCTGAAGACTGGCTCGGTCTCGGTACAACGACGAAGTTCGTTAATTATCCCGATGCTGGATGTTTAATAAGCTCCCCCTGCTCGAAGGACGCGCGCAACAACCGATACTCTGTATTACTCGAGCGAGTTGGAAAGATTGTCTATGTAGCATCCTGTGCAGGTTCGGTATCGAGAAAAAGCGCGATAATTAATCAATTTGCCTTGCCGGCATGATTCCCCTTTAGCCAGACAGCTATCCATCTTCGGTGAAATGAGTTCAAATTACACAGGCATTAAACAAACCTCTGCTCGCGATCCGGTTTGCTCGTGACTGCCGGCTTCTCGCTGCCTTTTTCTCCTGTCTCGAAAATTAAGAACCTGTTATTTTCACGGTTGCGTCTTGGAGAATCGCGTTGCCCTCGTCTACACTCGGCTGGCCGCGGCCGAAACGGATGGGAAAGAGAAACCGAAAGCGGAACTATCGCGGCGGGGCTGTGGCGATGCTGGTAAGATTAAAGAGCCTCTTCCAGGGTGGGTTCGCGAAACGGGCCTAGGAATAATTACGGGCCGTGAACCGCGACGGCCGGCCGATCGCCGGCACCGAGAACAGTCACAGAGAGAAAGAGAACTGGTTTCGTTATCGTCGTCTGTTGCGCGCGCTGAGTGTCCCTGACCAGAATACCGGGGCTGGCACACAGGCCGGGCGACAAATTTTCTTCGCTATCTTCGCAAGAGGATCTTGTCACGCGCGCATACGTTAGCCGGCCTCACCTTTAGGCCGCGTTCGCGACCCCACGTTGTCCGACGGGCGTGAAACTAGACCTGAATTTGCCGATGCTAATTAGGTCCGAGAAACTAGTCCGTGATCGTTTCTCGCGTTGCTCACGAGCCCTGGCACCGGCGTGCATCTTGCCCGGCGATAATGCGAAAGCACACGGGGGTTAACACAGCTCCGGCGTACAAAGCGTGAAACTGGGAGTACCGGTTGTTTCTCCAGTTCGTTTCTCGCGTTACCCGAGATATTCCCTCTTCCAGCGAGATATTCCCCTTTAGCCGTGAGCCCTCGACGGTCGAAGGTCGAATTTCACGAAAGCGTCGCGAGTGCAACGCGGGACCTACGCGCCTCGACCTTCGCGCTCCGAGTCCCCGATCGATTCCGCGTCTTTATTAAAGGTGTTCCGTTTCGCGCGACGTTACGTCGCGTTATGCCGCGACAGGAAGTAAACGCGAGGCGTAGCCAAGGCAACGGTATTGCCTCGATTGTTCGAGCCGGCTGCTCGGTGGTGTCGGCTAAAGTAAAAACAACGTGCCTGCGAACCACGCTCTCGTATCGATCTCGCTGATCCAGCGATAAGCATGGCGGTACAGGTCGATACTGGTTGGCCGGTGTCGCGTGGGTGGATGAAGATTTTAAGGTCTCCGAGGATGGTTGCTCGTTCCCCTTGGACCAACGATTACGGCTGGCTTTACGGACGAGTTAGATCGCGGAACGGAGATGGCAGATACGCCGTGGAGATTACTCGGTCGCGAGCTCGCCATCTCGGATGGCCTTGGATGTCCTTGCGCTACGGAGCGCTGAACTGCGTCTTTAAAAGTGGCTTTCACCCTGCGCGAGAAAAAACCGCGGCATTCCATTTGAAGAAACGAAGCTGACCCTGAGATCTCCTTAATGCCCGCGCGTACAGAGCGCGGTCTTCTTCCAGCGCGCGACATTCTTCTTCGAATTCGAGAACGAATCCTCCGCGTTCGAGGTTTTGCGCGAATTACGTCCGAGATATTTTTAAGCCATCGCGGAGGAGTGAATTAAAGGCGAAAGGGGAGCAGGC